CTTTGCTGTCCAGGGACTAGCCTGTCACTGAAATCACCCACATAACATGGGAAATGATAAAATCATAGATGGTAGACAAGATGTGACTTGGCTGGGTTGGGAAAACAGTATTACTCGTGTTGTAATTATTAAGAAATACAAACTGGAACAGAAGAACAGAACAGAAAGAACTGTAGAAAAATTAATTCACCATAGATAAAAACATTGAGAGGGCTATCCTGAAGCTGCAGCCACAGAACCCTGAGCCACCCGTAGCACTGGTTATCTGAGCTCCTGTGGGCTTACCAGGGCTATGCTTTACATACAAGGAATACATATATATTTTCTGTTACGTTCTTTTTGCCTGTGGACCACAGGTCCTGTCCTGTAGCTGTGTATGCAAGTCACCAGCTGGGAGAGGTTAAGATACTTTAACTAGCTGGTGCAGCTGTCAAATGTTATGATTTAAGTCATAAAGGAAGGTTAACACTGGCAAGTCCTCCTGATATCTGAAGAGCTGTGCCTGGACTGTGTGACAGGCAGGAGAAAGAAAGTAGACAAGCCAAGAAAGCCCTTTTTTTTTGCTGTTCCAGATAATGATCATCTGATGTGGGATTGGGATCACTTGATGAGCAGACCATGGGATCAGATGATGACTGTGGACTCAGAGGGAATGGGGGATATCATCTGATGGAAGTTATAAAAAGTTTTCTCTCAAGGGCTATTTTCAAACAACAGAACACTGCTTACAGGATATAACAGTTCTGAGAAGATGATCAAGATGTTAAGGAAAAGCTTAACCCCATTTTGCCCTGCCATGTGACGGGTTCAGGGACAAAATTGTGCTGGGATTCACAAATCAATGTTCATCTAATCTTTTTCTGCATTTGGGTTGGGGAGGGAGGAGATGTTAGTTGGGATTTGGGGGAATTTTGTTCCGTGGTCAAATATCTGTAGAAAAACATGGAAAGGAACTGTGTCAGGACTTTACATTTTGGGAGTTAGGAAAAAAAAAAAGCCAAAACCATAAAACCAGGATATGTGCGCGAGAGGCAGGACTCTGGGCTAAGGTAGGACACATCAGAAAGGATATTGGTGAAGAGGTGAAGGTAAGGAATGGTCTCTCGGTGGTTTCCGTGGGTGTTTCTTGGTGTTATCAAAAGAATCTGTGAGTACGTCAGGCTTGAAACTCAACTGGTGAATGTGTTACCAAAAGCAATGTGTTCCAAAAGGAGGAGGTGTACAGGACAATCAGGATTTTTGGGCCATTGGGCATCAGGTCTCCTTTTCACAGTAAACAGGTGAACAATCTCTCTTCAGAAGATTGCTTACCTGTTTGGATCAAAGGAAATCCCATCATAAGGGTTCAAATACAGCATTCTGGCCTATATCCAGGAGAGGGTTTTCAAAAAGCAGAGTATAATAGCTGCTATAATTTATGGTAGCATTTACTTAAGCAATTATCTCTTATCTGAGTTTCCTAAAACTTCCTGAAATTGTTCTCTTGTTCTGTGAGGTGCCTTGTATCCTGCGATATAATTTGACTCTCTAGAGTCCTTGTTTGCAGACCTTAAAAAAAATTAAATCTTCACTCATCCCTGTAATCAGTTTGAATGTGTTGCCTTGTTTAACACACTTGTTTTTAAAGTTAGATTTTTTTTTTATGGTTTCCAATAAGATGTAGACTCTGCAGTAGCCAACATTTAATTTGAGACAGTTTCCTGCCTCTTTTTTCCTTTAAAGATTAGAGCAGTGCCCTAGCAAGTCTACGTATTTGATTGTGAGCATCCAAGAAAAGGGAGATAAATTTTGTTTTAGTAAACAGTAACGTGCTCAGACACAGAAGCAGAAGTAGGAATTAAAGAAGTAAATTCATTAGACTACTAAGTTCTAGTTTTCTTAGTCATCGACATGTCTTTATAAGATGTGCTATTTTGCTAAGACGTGAACTTCATCACTGGTCCAAATTAGGGTACCACATCCTTACCTCAGGTTATTTTCTAAGTCAGAAACTTACAAGACCCCTTTTTTCCTTATTACGCCTTTCCCAAAGGAAGTATCTGTCTAGTTACTATGTTCCCTCTCCTACAAATTTACTACAATCTCTATCAATTACAAGCAAATACTAAAGAAGTAGAGTTTTGGGGGTAGGGTTTTTTGTTGGTTTGTTTCTCAGTGTGTTTATGTCGGTGTTAACATTCTAAGGTAAAAACTGACCCAACATAATACATAAACACTGAGGGTGATGAAACAACTTCCAGGTGTTTGCATCAAACTCTAAGCCTCTTTTGTTTCTAGCACCTGCTTTTCCCATTTTGTTACTATCTTCTAACAGTTACTTCAGCATAGGCTGTTACCACATTGTGCTGTTTACTTAGTTGTACTGTACAAATGCCTCTGTTTAGGAGAAATTAACTATATTTTGGATATAAAGAATCAGATGTGAAAGATTTTGTATGTATGCACACATGTTAAACAAGCATGTTTGACTTCAAGACTTCATTTAGCATTACAAGATGACCACTTTATTCACAGGTGACAAAGCTGTGAGATATACAGGTGGTCCTAAAAGAGTGCTAACAAATCTTCTGTGAACTATCTAAAATAACACAAGGATAAAGGTCTTCTTATAAGACATTTCTTTGCTGTCTGTGAAGAATATGTTGTTTTCAACTTTATTTCCTGAGGTGAATTTCAGGCTGTAGGTGAAATATTACAGATCAGTTAACATAGATGGATGCAGTCAAAGAATATGAACTGTGATTAAAAATACTGTTATGTTTGGTATTTCAGCTGGCTATGGGTGTGTATGGAAAAACAGGTGATGCAGGCTAAAATGCACCTCTACTGCAGGTTGTTGCATACAATTAGAGGCCTTTATCCTGACTTTTACATAGAATCATAGAATCACAGAATGGCCTGGGTTGAAAAGGACCACAATGATCATCCAGCTTCAACTCCCTTGCTATGTGCAGGGTTGCCAACCACCAGACCAGGCTGCCAGAACCACATCCAGCCTGGCCTTGAATGCCTCCAGGAATGGCATCTACAACCTCCTTGAGCAATCCATTCCAGTGCATCACCACCCTCAGTGTGAGATTGTTCCCTTCAGCCTGTGTATCTCGTCTGATCTGTCAAATCTCCCTGTAGAGAGTAGGCCTCTGTCGCTACATTTCAGAACAAACCATTCCATAACTGGGCAAACACTGGTGCACAAATCTGTGTTGTTTTTTTTTTTTACTTGTTGCATCCACTTTAGCAATCTCTACTGGCTTCAAAATATGCATGTAATCCTATACTGAATAAACTCTTTTCATATAGCTTGTGCTAATCTTAACATTATGATGTCATCTGAAATCCACAGTATTGGTGAAACATGTTTTAATATTCTAGCTCTTTTGATCATGCCTCATAAATCAATCCCTCAATCTCTTTAATTATTTTAATTGCTCTTCTTTAAATTTCCCTTGCGTGTAATTTTCTAATAGGAAGATTTCCCAAAATATCCCAGGCGTGACCTAGTTAAGTAGTAGGCAAAGAGTAGTCATGCCAAAGGAACGGAAGAGAAAAATCTGTTAGTTTCTTCCTTGATCACTTGAAGGCATCTGTGGGCTTTCTGATGTTTCTGCTCTGTAAGACCACATATAATTTACTGTCTGCTTTCACTCCTACAGGTCAATACTGCAGATTTCTTCCTCTTGTTGAATACTTTCCTGCGGCTATATCAACATTTACAAGGTGAACCTTTTATTTTCCCACCCATATTCCCTTTTTGAATTCGTTCACGCTGTTTTGCCAGCTTTCCCATCTCCACCTAACTTAATGAGCTGTGAAAGCCATTTATATCTAATTATTGTCCTTAACATTGAAGTCTAAGAAAGATTTGATACTGTTCTCTGAGGTAATTAATTTAGCCTTTCCAGCTCTTCAGATGAAGTCCAGTGCTGATCCATAAAATTCCCAAGCATATAAAAAAGAATAGGGTAAGATGATTGTTTGTTCTGTTTCTTTTTTTCTGTAGCAAGTTTAATTAAGAAGATAATCTCCACCCATCTTCCAGTACTAGTCTAGAATGGTCGGCCTTAAGTAGCAAAATTAATGCCAGGAAAAGATCTGCTCTATTTTTTCCCCTGTAAAGCTGTTCATGTGAAGCTGTTCATGTGTATATAAGGACATAATTGAGCTGGGCTCCTGGCACGTATGAACAAATACTTGAAGGTATACTTAGGTGACAACATCACCATTACTTTCTTCTGACTATTCCACAATGGAAAGATAATGTAATTGCTTCAGCTAAACAAAAGGCATTGGTTATTTCCTTGTCGCACTGAAGTCTAAGACAGTAAGCTTCTGTATGTAATAACTGAAATGACTGGCACTGCTGCAAACAAAGGTGAGAGACATCAGAGATCATAAAATACAGGAATTTTCCTGGCTGTCCTGTGGCAGCTTTATACCTGAAAAAAAAAAAAAAAAAAAAAAAAGTAGAGAAATCAGAGATGGTGGCAAGGAAGCAATGACTTGGTTGTTTTTTTTTCTTTTCTTTTCTTTTCTTTTGTTTGTTAGTTTGTTTTTCTGAGGGCACAGCATTAAGAAAAAGCAAAATTCTTGGTGAAACAGCAACGTGCACACCCAATTCCTTGCATTTGGGGAATCAGGACTGTGCAGTCCCCTGTAACATGCAGTACTGGATCAAATACATTTAACAGGAATCTGCAGAACCCCATACTTTGGCTAACTAGTTTTTTTTTTTTTTTTAAACAAGTCTCTCATGGATTGGCAGAGTCAAATCAACACCAGCTGACAAAAATGAAATTACTGCAAACATGCAGACATCTCTGGCTCTTCTGATACATGTCTCCAGGGAACGTTTTTGCTTTGCTCTGGATCTGTGGAATTGCAACGCTTAAAACATGGGCAATGAAAGCTTGCAACAACAAAAAAATGTTACTGCAAATTACAGAAGTAGTGATTGTGATTCATTAGCTTGTGTAAAAGTGATTTCTTGTAAACCCTTTTTATTTCTTGTAAAACTTTTTATTCTTCAAGCTGCAGAATGCCAGGAGATCACTGATACCGTCGTATTGTTCACATTAGATCTCGTTTCTGCAGATTCCTGCAAGAAAGGAGCCAAAAGCTGTAACATTCACAGTGCCTGACAACATTAATCATCGATCCTATTGCTAACTGCTTCTGGGTGGGATGTTTCTGGGTTTGTAACTACACATGGCTCCTATCATTTGCGGCTTCCGCAAGCAATTCTAGTTATCCTTCATTAAAAAGACTTTAAATAAAAGGTTTGAAAGATTCTCCAGCGCCAGCGAAGCTACGGGAAGGCAGCAACCTCTCTGCTCGGTGAGGGCAGGGGTGAGGAGCAGCTCGGTGGCCCCAACGCTGGGGCTGCCCTTGCTGCTGGAAGCTGCTCCACGGCCCCGGCGCTAGGAGACCGTCCAAGAATTTCGTTACAGGGGACCGAACCTTAAACGAAACGGGGGTTGTTTTTCTTTATTTTAGCCGCGCGGTGCGGGCGGGAGCCGCCTGAGGAAGCACCCTCCGCCGCCATCTCCCGCCTTTTTCTTCTCCCCCCCCCACCCCAGCTTCCCAGCGCCGGCCGCCATCTCGCCGCCCCCACGCCACCCTCCCCTTCGACCAACCCCCGGCTCCATCCCTGAGCCGAGGGGTCGCCAACCGCCGCTCCGCCATCACGGCGCGGCCCCGCCCCGCCGCCATTACGGCCCCGCCCGGCCCGGCGCGCTCCCACCCCCGCGGCGCCGCCGCAGCCCCGCGCACATATAGGCTGCCCGCCGCACTCTCCGCGCCGCCGCCGCCTCCTCCAGGCATGGCACAGGGCTCTACCTCACTATGGCAGCAGCGCGGCACAGCACCCTGGACTTCATGCTCGGCGCCACAGGTAACGGCACGGCGGGGGCCTCTCCCCGAGCTTCGGCCTTTCTCACCCATGGGGGTCGGGCCCCCTCCTCGGCGCTGGGCCCCGTGCAGGCACCCTGCGGCCTTATCTCGCAGCGGGCTCAGCGCGGCCTCCTCTCGCCCCAGCGGGCCTGCGGTGGGGCCGCGTGCGGCGCAGGTGCCCTCGAGCCGCCTGCTCGCTCCGCATAGGGCCCGCTGGGGGGAGGCGGAGGTGGCGGGGCGAAGCGGACCCTTCTGGAACCGTTGCGAAGGCGTAGGGTGAAGGAATTGGTAATAAAACGCGGCTTGAGGTGAGCTCTCGGGTTTTCCGAAGCCTTGCTCCGGAACTATCTGTAGAGGGCACGTTCGAGCCGACGAACGGAGGGGAGCCACCGCGTTTCTCTGTGGCCAAAATGGGTAAAACGTGTGGGGGAGAGCTGAGATGGGTGCCCGAGCGCTGAGTGCGGCCCTTCCTCTGAATTCCCGCAGGGAAGCGGGAGCGAGGGCAGTTATCCGCATCTACACGAGGGGTGTATCGGTATCTTGAGGGAGGAGATTTCCCCCCATCCCGAGGGCTTTGTTGCATGCTGTGCCCTTGGTGGCTTTGCATCGTTTGTGGTTCGGTGAGATACTGAGAGCCAAGAGCAGGGAAGGGATGAGATTCTAATGGCGTTGTTATCAGAGCAGTTTGTTTTAGAATGCTCTGATGTATTTCGTGGCAAAAGTCTTTCAGGCTGTTCCACGGTGAGGTTTTATTGTGCGGTTTCACCACTGATAGTGACTTGACACCGAAAATATACAGTACATAGTCCTGCTGTTGTCCTTGCATCTTGCCCTTGCTTGATCTTGTCAAAACCAAGAAGCTACGTAGCTCTAAAACCCGCTTTTGTGGACCCTCCTGTTCCCCTTTTCTCCTGCCCTTGACTCAGAGTGACCTCTTTGCCTTTTTGGTTTCCTGAACTTCAGTGCTGGCATCTGCAGTCAGGAGTGGTGGGGGGGAGGAGCAGGACTAGGTGTATGGAAAATAAGCTAGAGGTAAATTTCCCTGCTCTGTGGTATGGGAGCTGCAATATTAGTTAAGACCACTATCACAGTGTCTACTTAAACTTACCTGAAAACATACAATGCTTTCTCCTTTGTTTCTGTTTATCTTGACGATATTTGCATCTTTCTCCAGTTAAGATGGATCCCAGAAACACCAAGGTTGTAAAAGACCTACAAGATCATCCAGTCGAACCATTCACCTGTCACCAATAGTTCTCACTAAACCATATCCCTCAACACAAAATCCAAACGTTCGTAAATTTACTGAGTGGGAGTGGAGGATGGACCAACTGCAGAAGAATTGCGGTATAGCCCAAAGGAGGGAAGAACCTTTTTTCCTCCTCTTGTGCTTGTTTAAGCATGGTAAACACCTTGAGTGAGAAGTGAAGAACTTCACCCATAACTGCTCTGAAGTTAACTGTCCTTTGCTCATGTAATGTTTTCCTCTCATCTATTGCTTGTGGCTCAGAGCATAAAGAATTGTCTATAAAGAAAAAGTGATGCAGGTAAACTTGATGGTGTTAAAGAAGTTAAACTTTAATGCCAAATTGTAGATCGCCATCTGATTACTTTTTTCTGTGTAAGTTACATGGACAATAAAACTTGGAAGTGTTCTGTATTATTTAGAAAACCCACTCATCCATTTCTTTTCTTGCATCTCTGAGGCTTGTGTTATCATTACATTTCAGCTGAACTACTGCAGAGTCTGGTCTTGGTAAATACACGATTTTAAACCTCAAAATGTTACCTGTCCTCAGTTTAACAGATTTCTTTTAGTGGATCTTACAGCTTTCAACTTCATAGCCTGTAGAAACACAAAGATTTGGGGCTAAGAGAGTAGGTAATCTTCAGTAGTAAGTTTGTATTATATTATAATGAATCTTGCAGTGAGTGTACGTGGTCATGGTGTCTATTTCTTCAGTGTGTGTTGGAGTTGTTATATATGGTGATTGAAACCGTTTGAATATGCTTTTCAGTGTAACTTGTTTTAATCCTCAGTCTTTTGAGGGCCCTGGGGGAATAAAGGAGGGAGTGTATGGTTGGATGTCAGTGAGAGGATCTGCAGTACCCTGCTCTGTGTTTGGATTTTGGGTAGGATTTTATGATGTGAATGCTTACACAGCCATGCCAAAAAGGACTTGGTGGTACTGCTGGTCATGAACTAGCAATGTGCCGTTGCACCCAGAAACCAACTGTATCCTGGACTGCATCAAAGGAAGTGTGGCCAGTGGGGGGAGGGAGGTGATTCTGCCTCTTAACTCTGCTGATGCCTCAGCTGGAGTAATGTTTCCAAATGTGGAGTCCTCAGTACAGGAGAGACATGGACCAGCGTCCTCATCTAGCTGTAGTGTCCCTGTTCATTTACTCTGTTAGTAGCTGCAAAATGGTACAGGTTCCAAAAGTGATCTTTGCTGGCTGTTTTGTTTGTTGTATGCTAAAACCCTTTACAAAATCTTCAGGCGGTTTAGTCTCTCCAGGTGTTGGGCAGTAGCTCATACTGAACATATGCTTTTGTTCTGAATGAATGATGTAAGTATCTTGAGTGAATAGTTAGTGTAGTAGGCACTTCTTTTTTTTAAGTGTAAGATTGATAGTTGTTGGGGATATTGAGTGATACCAGTAATGAAAACATGGCAGTAGGGAAGTTTAAAAAGGAGAACGTGGTATTTCTCTTGTTGGTTTCAGATGGGAGTGGGGGAGTGCAGGAGAAGAAAGAGCACTGCCTTGGGAATGGGGTTGCTTGGGTCACATGAACTTAAGTGTGCCAGTTTCCTGAGAAGTTGAAAGAAAAAGACAAATGTCTATTAATGTAGTACAGAACTAGTAAAAGAATCAGAAGAAAAGGGCCTCTTTTATTCTGTCTTAATAAAAATATTTCTCATAATGAATTTTCATGAGATTTTAATAGGCTGTTTGATAGAAGCAGGTCTGAATTTTTGAGTAATGCAACCTGGCTTTGAGATGGTCTCCTCAAGAGGTGTTTAAAGTAGCAACTGCAGAGCAGAAGTGTCTTGCCTACCTGTGGCTCTTTGAGCTGATAAGTGGACAACTTCTGCAGGCAGGCAGTGTGGTGTTCCTTATTCTAAAATACAGGAGTAGTGTATTAATGAAACCCTTGTTTGTGAAAAAGGAGCGGTTCATTTTCCATTTATAGTTAGGGTGGTAGAGTCTTTAGTCATGCTTCTGACTTTTGAGCTGTTAGCATTCCTATCCTATTGATTGGTTAGTTCATCAGAAGCAAGGAATTTGGGATTTGAGACTCCATTCAGACTTGTTCTTGGTTATCCCTTCAGAAAGTTGCTTTGAAAAGGTAAAAGCTCATTGGAAAAATAACTTGAAATGTGTTACTGTTTAGGGTTGTTGGGGGAATTGCACAGTTTGCAGCTGCACAGATGTGCTGGTGAAATTCAGTGCAGGACATAGGTGTGTGCTGGTGTGAGGGGAAAGCAGAGATCATTTGAGCTCAAATGATTTAATGAAAGAAGTTCTTCTAAAACTGTTGTGTGAATTCACTCTGGGAATTCCAGGGCTGTAGTGCAGGTAAGGCAGTACTTGGGTTTCTAAGGAAAAGGGGAAGTGAATGTGTGTGCATGTAGAGAAAAACAGAACAAGTGTTTTCATGGAGATGGAAAGAGGAGAGTATGACCTCTTGCTGGCTGAGCTTCCTTTTTCAGGCTCTCTGGCAGTGGCTTTTTTCCTGTCCGTGTGGTCTGCAGCTCAATTCTGAAATTGCATGTGGGAGAAAAAGTGAGAAATCTGTCAGCAACAGGAATGCACATGAAAATAATAGCTGCAGCACTTTGTGTCTGAAATGTTAATAGATGTGGCCAATATACTGAAAAATAAGTCCTTTGCTTATCTTTTTTTTTTTTCCCCACATACCTTAACTGGTACTGTGTGTATTGGATTTGACTTATGAAATTTCTCTGTATTCTTTGATCAGTGTTTTGCTGGGGAATTGTACTGAGTGCAGATAAAACACAAACAAAAAGAGGAGTTGTGTATGTTTTAGTTCTGAGGGGCTTTTTTAAACAGGATGTGGTGAGGGCACTAACTGCTTTACGAGTTAAATGAAATAAATGAACTTGTCCTGGCTGAAGCATCCCTTACAGTGTAAGAAGGTGCTGTTGGCTACTAGCTGTGCTACAGCTTACAGACTTGTGATGTGTTTCTTGACCATTAAGAAATGCTCTCAGGTGATGCTTCAGTATATGCTTAGGGGTATAAAGTTTAATCTGTCCTCACACTCTGGTATTTATTTTAGAGCTGTTGGATATACTCTAGTATATTTACAGCTGGGGTATAGAATCATAGGATCACTGAAGACTGACTTGAATTTAAAAAAAAAAAGTGTCTTCTGGGGAAGCAAACCCCCCCCTCCCTCCCCAAAGCTCCTCTACCTGTGCTGAATTGTGTGGTGTTGCTATAGGAATATACCTTGAAATGGGTGCTGGTTGATGTTTTGCCTGCTGAACCAAATAATTCCAATGCTTATTCATGGCTGATCCCACAAGAGGTATTGAAATAGAAGAAGAAAGCAGGAAGAGATGGTAGCTTGGAAACTCTTGCAGTTTTTTTTTTTTTTTTCCACGGGTGCTTCAGAGCCTTGTGTATGAAGGAGGAAGGGTTAAATGTTTGCTTGCAGTTTCTAAGCTTATATGTGAAAATCTCATCAGTGAATCTTTTGTGAGTGCTTGGCTATATATAGTTTAATATTATTCTAATGTTGATGTTGTTTGACATACTAGGGATGCTAGGGCTCTGTTTTGTTAATGAGGCAGGTGCTTGCTTCTATGACCCAGAACTGGCTGCAGTTAGCTAGAAGGAAGTGTTTGAGCACACTGTGGGGGAAGCAGCATCTCTTGGCTCTGTAGCTCATCTTGACCAGTTCTGGCAAGAATAGGGTTATCTGAAGTGCCAAAACATCTGACTGCTGTGATAACATGCAGGTGATAGGCTTATCTCTTCACTTTGTTGGTTTATGTTATGTTATCAGAACTTGCTGACTCCAGCTGATGGTGTGTGTGTGAATGAAGATCATATAGATCAAGGTTAAACAAGACCCAAGTAAATGCCTTCTGGGGCTTGCAACTGCATTATTGACCTTGGTTAAAGGTGTGTTTGCAGCCAGCTTACAGCTGCAGGTCAGGAATGAGCCCATGTGTGTTGTGCTGCTCCAAGCAGTGCCCCGCAGGCCTGCAGCTTCTTGTTCTTACAGGCTGGGGCCAAGGACGGGCCTGTCCTGCCTAGCAGTGTGAGGCTGCCCTATCAGGAGGCCTTTACATTGGAATGGAAGCTTCCTATTTTTAGCAGCATGAATTGCTGTAAACCCATTCCCTGCTTTTGTTGGTTTCCAGTGCTGAAGAGTAGAGTGAAATGCTCTATGAGAGGAACTCTGAAAATAGTTATCTGAATCTCCCATGTGATGTAAAGAATTTAATGGCTGCTTGTTGGGGCACGAAGCATCTCTCCCATGTGAAGGTGAAGGATACAGCATGAGAGATGTTCTCCTCAGGGCTTGGTTTGAGGCCACGGAACAAATTCACACAGGAAATGAGGGCTGCTTTTGACATGAGTATTTCTATTTGAGGTAAGCTTCTGTGCCTTTTAAATAACAAATGTATTATGCGTAGCAGCCATGTGTTGAAGTTTTTTTCCCTTCTTGTAATTCTAATTCTTGGAACTAGAAAAATTCTTAGGACAGGTAGTTATTGTCACCTTGCTTTATGCATTTCTAGAAGATGGTCCAGGTGATTGATAATAAGTAGGAGAGCTGGTATTGCTTGAGCATGTAGAATTTGCCTTATGAAGTATACTTTTTCTTTTCTTTTGTTTATTCTTTTAGATGGAAGGGCTACAGATGTTTCAACAAGTGATAATATTGTTTAAAATGCAAACAGACTTTGTATACCAGTTGATGGACTTAAGTTTACATGAAACTGGAAGAGGCAAATGTAGCTAGCAGAGCTGAGTTGTTGAAACCACCCATGTGGATATTAAGGTTTGAGCTTTGTGTCAGATGAAGGAAGTCTTAGAGCACGTATATACTTTGGCATGGCACCTCTGTGCTCAAACTTAAGGTATGAAAAATGGTTTGCAAATGCCCCAGCACCAATGATCTATTGGGATACAGAGTTACAGGAAGTTTAATGAAAAACAGCCTTCTTATCAAGAATTCAATTCGACCAAGAAGAAAGTCTTGGAAGAGCCTAGGTTCTGAGACTAAATGATCAATTTCATGTCTCATGCATAATTGTTTCTTCTATTGAACAACAGTGAATTTCTACGAAGGGGAAGAAACATAATATTACAAAATGAAATAATGAGAGGGAGGATAAAATTTTATTTTATAAGCTTTTTTCTAGTTTAATAATTAAAAAGCAGTGTGATTTTCCTAATGTCAGATACTGCTTTTAAGGCCTGTAAATGTTTCTTCCATGACTACCACAGAGCAGCAGGGCTTCTGATGAACTGTTGCTCAGCATTCCAGAAAATCTGTAATTAAGACGTTGTTTACCATCACTTAGCTGTAATTAGATTCCAGGCTTAGCAAAACAACTTTTGAAGTCTATAATTTGAGAAAATACAGGAAGAAATTATTAATATCAAAGTGAATTGGAGAGAGAGTTTGTTAACATTATTTAAATCTGCATGTTATCACTGCCTGCAAAAGATGTAGTGACCCAGCAGTTCTTTCCTGCTTTTGCCTGTCTCTGTAGGGGTAGTGCTGAAATAGCCCAGACAACCCTGAACCAAAAGCTATCAGAATTTGGTATCTTAAGATTTACTTTCTTTCTAGTGGACTGTTCTTATAGGCCTCACGTTGCTTAGCCGAAAAACGGTAGTCGGTAGCTGGTTGAAAACATTCCACTCAAAATATATCTAACAATGAAGGCTACTGGCAGCTTTCCCCTTGTTATACATCAGCCAAGCTATCTGTGTGTTTTCTGGTGCATTCTCTTTTAAACTTCCTTAGTGCATTATGGTCAGGTATCATCAGTGATGAGTTTTTAGATGTTGGTGAATCTGCAAGCGGGAATCCCGTGTTGGTGTAGTGAATAAGCCAGGAAAGGTTTGTTTGCAATGCCTGACTTGCTGAGTAACTCCTTTCTGTCATCGGAGATGATAATCAAATGCTTATGCAAAGATGATCAAGGGAGGTTCTGGAAAGTGGTTATCCTTTGTCTTCATTCTTTTCCCCCTCAGGTTGTTTCAGATTCAGACATGCTACAAATATTTTAACCTTGACTTTGCTGGCTCTGCTGTAGTCAGCCATTGTTATAGCAAAGTGTTACTTTTGCCTTCTCGATTTTATTTATGATGACCATAATAAATAAGCTCTCCTATAGACCAGTGTCTGCTGTGCTTGAGTGCTTTTCTTTTTGCGTGGGTGTGCATTTTCTGGGATGCTTTTGTGGAGGATGATTACCTTCTCCTGGAGAGGAGGCTGTGCGTGCATGGTGTTACTTTCAGGTTCATCAGATTTACATCACATAAGCAAGTGGGTAGAGATAGGTGGCGAGGCTCAATTGCTTCATGTAAGTGATATGTTTTAAGCCTTCTCTCAGTGATTCTCCATGGTTTAGTAAAACAGCCTCTACTCAAGTGCGTGGCTGTATTTGTAGCAATCCCTGAGATATCTGCATCCTCAGCTGGTTGATAGGAGTTATCCTTCCTTACCACCAAGTGCCTCTAAAAAGCAGAATGCCTTTAGTGAGGCTCTGATCTTCTGAATGTCACAGTTATGTTACTTGGGGAAGTAGTCCTGTGGGTTGACTGGGTAGGAATTAATATGCAGCCCAGTTAAGAAAAAAATGGAAGAAAAAAGAGCATTCATGTCTACAGCTAATTTTAAATTAGTCATCAAGTGTGAGCCAGCTCTAAATTGATAGCAAGTATTTTATTTTGGTTGTTTCAGTATGTATCTTGCAGCAACTGACTCTTTGTGCTTGAAGAGATTTGCCTGTACAGCTAGTAATCTCATGTATCCAGGTGCTTGATTATTCAAACAAGAAAGTGAATTCAGTTAGCATACTGGTTTAGTGACTAGCTTTGCATTAAAATGTTCTTTCATTGCTGTGGTCAGATTATTACAGATGAACTGAAGTGTGGTATGTAGAACTCTTCCCTCATCTCCCTCTCATGTCACTATGGCACTGGCAAGAACTTCTAGTGGAGTTCTGACCTTGAGTCTTGAATTAGATTTGTTTATAGCTAGGTAGGTCACTTGCAAGTAGTTTTGTACAAACAGTTTCTCCATAAGCAGCTGCTGACAGAAGAATGTAAGGATACATTAAATCTGACTTGGTTACAAACTAGAAGGTTGCATAGAACTTAACTTGAATAACATTAAGATGCTATAATGTGGCTGTGATAGTTCTCTGGAATTGCTGCTACTCTTTATTGTACTTGAATTAAGTTATTCCAAATCCTAGAGCTTTGGATTCATTTAATTGAGTTTCTTATATTCAGTTCTCAGGTAACTACCTGGACTGGCTGTGCCACAGAGTAATGCATGCACAACTGTGGGTTTGGTTTTTGGTGGAAAAGTCAGACCTCAAGTGAAGTACAGTCTTGCCCCAAAGGTTTGTGGTTACATCGCTGGTTAAGTACTAATTCACCCTTCCTGCTTGCTCCTTTTTACATTAGCATTACCTCTTAAAATATGTCTCTGGAGCATGAGATGATGCTGCTAATGTAATGGAAGAGGCAAGAATATAGAAATGAGGGAAAAATGGAAGTGCTCTGTTTGGCAATGCAGCCTTAGGTTGGCATTAGTCAATAGAAGGAGAACATCTAGCGTTGAGCCCCTAATGAATAGGATGCTTTAGGGAAAAGGTGTTAAGTGACTGTGGATTGTATGTGGCAAGGGAGGAGAGAGCTTGCTTTTAACTTCTACAGAAATCTAGCGGATAGGAGAGTTGAGTATTGCAGGAGGAACATGTTCAGCTAAGTAAAGACAGAGAAAAATGCTATCCAGGAAAAATCAAATGGTATTAAAAGCTTCTGGTGTCTCACAGAGAGATTTAGATTCTTATGGGAGTGTTTTGCATGTATTTCTCTTGGCAACCTGAACTGATGGAATGATATTTTGTGGGGAAGGGTAAGGGGTGAGTTCTACTAGGAGCCTTCAGTCCTTTGAGGGCTCCTCTTTATTTCTGGTGGACCTCATGAGCAATTTGCAAGGGAACACTTGGATGCACTTGATTTGTATTAACTGTGGTCCTTATGTAGAGGTACTGTCAAGTTCATGCATTGCTTTGTAGCACAGTATAGCTTGCCTTGCCTGTAGTCACTGTTTATAGCATGAAGCACTCAGGGTTGTGTTGTGGGGCACAGGATCCATGAAAATTCACTGGGAAATAGCCACCTTCTATTCTTAACCTACTGTAATGCAGAATAATGAAATTGAACAAGTGCATAGAGAAAGCCAAAACTAATCTTTCTTTTGTAAAAGTGTGAATAGCAGATGTCTATTTACATCTAATTGCGTTTTTTTAAAACCTCATCCAGTGCTGTGCATGACTTGTTGATTTGTGTGTAA